ATTTCCTAAGTTTTGATGCTGCGACAATGCATTACAATACGCTCAAACCTCCATATAACGAAATCAAATATTACAAATTATTCGATATAGAGAAGTAAGGGAAAAATAGCTTTGTAATAGATACAGTGTTACGAATATTCGTTTATAACGATTTCCCTGATATAAGCAAATATTTTCGAGGCAGATGTCACTTTGTTGTAATAAGCTCCGAGTGTAGTCAATTACAAAGCAAGAATAAATATAAGCTTACTCGCAGCCATTGCCGCCCAATACAATAAGAATTTGCGCACAGACACAACATATACATTCTTTGCCTCTCAGTCTTTACCAAATCTTTTCAATTCCCAAGACCTATTTTCCCAAGACCTATTAGTGAGCGAAATTGACTTCTAAACTCTATTGCAAAATAACACCTACAAGCAATTTTAGGCACCTATAGTTGATTTAACACCTGTTAAGAGTTAAGTGTAGGTGTTTATATCACACAAATTCATATTACAAAAATCAGAGCTTATCTATGCAAATGCTTGAGCTATGTGGAAATTTTTACTATTGAATAGCGCACATTCTGAATATTGTGCATCATTTGTGACACATCACTCGGGTTACTTTTATTTTTATGCGCTGTCAAGAAATTGTGACACTTTTCTGGCGTTTTCTGCTGTTCTATTCTAACTCCTGTGATAAGCTACTGTTGAGCTGGCAGTTTAAATAAATAAATAAATAAAACTTTCATAGATGTTCCAACCAATTAGGTTGCCTAAACTGAAAATTTTCTTTCTTTGACATAATATTAATGAGAATATTGTCTGATAGTTCTCATTAATATTGCATCTAACCAAGTACATTCGCTCATTTATGTGCAAGCAAGATTTCACACAAAATTTAGCCTGAATTCAGCACAGAGATAACTGCCGTACGTGCCCACCATGATCAGCTTTGCACATGCACTGTATTGCAAAAATCTAAACGCCTGCGGAGCACTGCCGACACTGGCTTGTCCATTGATGACGCGAACTCGACAAATTTCAGCCTTGCTAATAAAACTTTCAATGAGCATGCCACAAAAGTACGAGTGAACATGACCGGCGATGCGTTGTTGAGTTCACACCTTGAAGAGTGATTTTCATTCACCTGGGTTTGCTGACAAGGCCAGACATATCCTGAAATGCCTATGACACAGAGTGGACTAAATTTGCTGGTCTTTTGAAAGAAATACTTTGATGCAGACTTGTACAGAGTTCATGGAATGAAACGCGACATACAAATTTTAAGAATAACAGTTGGCACAGTCGAACCTGGATCTACTGAATTCAAAGGAGATCATAAAAGCAGCTTCATATATGTTTAGCCTCAAACTTTGATATAAAGAACCCAAATAGAACAAATTATCAGTTGTAATGAAGTAAATGAAGAACAGTCTTGCAATAGATATGATGTTTGGAATATACCTTTATAAGAAATTTTTGGATATAACAAACGATTTCGTGTAAAATGAAACTGTTATAAAGAGGTCTGAGTGTACTCAGACCTCATTATGACAAAGTTGCATATTACATGAAAATAAGTTCGTTATATTTAAAAAATCGTTATAAGGGTATATTCCTCACACTATGTCTATTGCGAGACTTCTTCAATCACTCAGTACAGCCAATATTTCATTATATCCGCGGTCATTATACTAAAGTATAGGTGTATATGAATGTATGAGAGCACCGGGCATAAGTGTTTGACAAAATAAGTAATTCTATAAATAGGATATTTTAGATGTAGAAAATAATTGAACAGAATTTTACAACTGCTCGATATAGTATACATTAATTCGTATATGTGGGTTCAATATATATGCGAATCCGACTGTATGCACAATAGCTCAAGATAACTGCACAATGTTGCAACCAATGTTTTTAGATATTGTCAGTTCGGCAAGCGTGCACGGTCGCAGCGGCGAGGAGCGGCCCCTTCTCATATTCCACGCAGCGGCGTTGCTGCTGTCTTCGCTTTCTCTCGAAAAACTGTGGCGCTTATAACCCTCTTTCTTGGGTTCTTAGTAGTCGAGCATAACTTTTGGTTGAAGCCTTGTCAGTTTCGTATATTTCTCCTTTTTCTTCTCACGTGCTCGCAGATGCTTCCTTGTGCTCTTGCATAGTGGGCATAAGTCTTCCCGGGACAACACGAAACACTTAATGCTCCTTCACACATCCAGGATCGTCAGGGCTGATGCTGCAGCCGAAATGGAAGGGAATAAGCTGCTACGACAGTCCGCGCATAATTTTAGGTTTATGCACGTCTGAGAAAAGCTCATACCATCTGCAAGCTCATCAGTTTCTACCGGCATCCCAAACCATGTTTGCTGTATGCCCACAGGGGAACAAGCATCACCCTAAGACTGAGGACAATTTGTGAAGTGTTTTGTTACCACCACTGCCTTATCGATTTTAACAACACCTTTGCCTTGAACAACTTTGGAAAAAAAAAAAACTTCTTCCTGGATAAGCTCGACATTCCAGGATTGGAACTTACTTTGGTCTTGTGATGCCGGCAACCAAGTTGCTACCTCTGGACACAACTCTGAATTGGAGGAGACGCCAGCAGCTTCGTCAAGATCGCTGCTCTCCATGTTGACGTCAGACACATCGCCACCACTTGCGAACACCCGGCTCTCAAAATTCGTGGTTTCTCCAAGTTTCGGGGGTTTTTTTTTGCACTTTGATACCGCCGGTTTAGACAAGTGTGCAGGAATATACGCGAAAATTTGAGGAAGAGCACCGGGCATAAGTGTTCACCTACCAAGTGGAATTTCAACAACGCTTCCGCCTGCGATGTGCTCGTAGCAACGCCTCCTAGAAAAACTATGCCTGGAACGTCGCTCTCTTTTCAATTGGGAGCCTCCTGCCAGCACGCCATCTCGGAGGCTGTGCCTCCTGTCTTGTGTTGCGACCAGCTGCCGCCTGAGACCACTCGCCTCCATACCACTTAGTCACGTGACATAACCGTACCGCTCTGTCACGTGACATTACGGCTGCTCGGAGGCAACTGTGAGAGCATTGCTGTGTTCGTAGGAGACGGCCGTCGAAGACGACGCTCGCCTACATAGCGAAGGAGGAGGGTAAAATCAGAGGGTAGGGCAGCGCGTTCGCAGCTCACGTTCCAGGCATAATTTTTTTAGGAGGCGTTTGCTCGTAGCAAGTGATTAGGTCCTCGGATTCGAAAATGCAGGTCATAAGTGTAGATCTTGATTGTCACCTAGAAGGCTTTTCGTGAAATAGCAGCTGTCCAGGCCTTGAGAACTGCTGGGTCATTTGGGGGTTTGAAGAAGTGCCGTCGATCGCAAGTGTTTTCCTCGGGGGCATAGCCACTTAGACAGCCTGACGTGCTGCAGGTCGGCATGTTTATCACGTTAAACTGCTAATTCACTCAAGTGTGCTTAATTGTCCTGTCGCATGTTAAAAACAATTTGCAATGACCAAAATTTAGTCTTCAAGCTCCCGCCGATAAAATCTGAGAAACGAACACCCACAAAAATATTCAACGCTTCCGCGGGAAGTGGCGGGAAGCCAGTGGCGGTGGCTCAATCGCAACGCATAAGCCAGAGCCACTCCTCGGAGCGGATAAGAGATGGTGATACCTCCGGGGCGGGCTTTTCCAACTGTCAGTATCTAAAAACGTTGGTTGCAACTAATCAGGCCTCCAATGATGGTGCTGGCTCTAACGTACGTGTGAAAGCCAATATTATGCCGATGAGACGCAAACTAAAGACAATGAATTAAACGGCATGCGCATTACTTGGCCACAAGTAGACTCATTTCATTCCAAGAGCACTGCACACAAATCCGCAACTCTGGGAGCTTCTTCACACAATTCGAACTAGCAGTTGCAAAACTGTGCATAACATGATTGTCAAGACAGAAAAGGTGCCACAGGTATTTAAACGTCAATACGTCAATGTGACAAGTTGTTTTTTTACATGGCACATACCATTGATTCAACAAATTTAACTAGAATGATCCAAGAATTTTTTCAATGCACATATAAATAGACTGACCAAATTATTCTGACCAACAGCCTCATGGAAACAACAGAAACAGCAACAAAATAGCGCTATGCAGCAGTTCAAGCACTAACCTTAGGCTATGGTTTTCTTATCATTCCGAAGTCCACGTTTGTTTTATTTTAATCAGTGAATCGAAGAACATTATTGCAGCATCAGATGTAATTCTACAAAAGCTTTCACTGGTGTCTTACTCTATGTTTCCATTGCATAAAAAAATTAAAATGCATGATTAATGTTTAAAAAGTTCTATCTTGTTATTCAAAAGTTGAGAACAGCACTGCGAGACAAACAAAATGAATAAAAAGTTCAGCTCTGCCTGTTCTGCGATGTATTGGCTCAAATCTCGTGAAAATTTTAAACAAATCCATCAATTTCCAAAAATGAGCTTAATTTCAATAACTTTTTATAGGAAATAACTTTTGAGATGGCAGATTAGGCTGGCCCACAAATCAAGTTTCTTTTCTGAGCAACACAAGACAAAGAATCCTTGCATGGCTAAGGGCCGCAGGCACGCATAATGGCCAGAACTGCTATGCTTCATTCCACACACCAGATGCAACGCAATGAAAGCTAGCAAGAATTCTTACAGTAGATGCATTCACACAAAGAAATCGCTAGAAGATTTTGACATCCGTAATGTTATCTCTTTTAACCTTATAAACAGAGTAAGCAATTGACTGATTTATTGATATGTGGGGTTTAACGTCCCAAAACCACCATAGGATTACGAAAGACGCCGTATTGGAGAGCTCCGGATATTTCGACCACCTGGGGTTCTTTAACCTGCACACAAATTTGAGCACACGGGCCTACAGCGTTTCCTCCTCCATCGAAAATGCAGCCGCTACAGTTGGGATGCGATCCCACAACCTGCGGGTCGGCAGTCGAGTACCTCAGCCACTAGATCACCGTGGCGGGGCAGAGTAAGAAATTATGATGCTTTTTGCTTTAAATAACAAACTAACCCCATTACTTAGACGGTTGCCTACAGGTTGTTTGGATCACTAAAGGTCTCTGTTTTTTCATCGTAGCCTCCGTGATTAGTTCCGATGATGCACAGTCAGAGCCAATCGCAGAGGCCATGTTTTTGACGCCGAAATCAAAGCGCGAGACACATGCTCAAGCTCCCTTCATAACTTCCACAGTGTTGTATCTGATGCATGAAATGGAGTAAAAGCACGGTTTGGTAAAATAACCTCGGTGGCTGACACACGCCGGCCTCGAACAGACAAAAAGTGAAAGAGGAGGGAGTTGAAGGGCATGTCTCACGCAAAGTACTTCAGACCCGTAACCACCATAAACTTCTCGATGAAGAGCTCCGAGTCGAGCACGGCGATGTGGGCAGCACGGCCGATGAGCGAGTTGGCCGAGCTGGGCAGCGCGTGGTGTACGTCATAGCGCACCAGGCTGATGTCCGGCTTGCTGGCCAGTGGCTGAAGGAGGTGGCTCACCATCTCCCGGTACGCCGCCCCTGCGATGAGTCGGCATGTGAGGCATTCGACATACCGGAGAATCCTATACACTCAAACCTCGACATAATAAAGTGAATAAAAAATAGCTGTTTCATAAATACAGGGCTACGAATATATGTTCATGACAAATTTTCATATATAACAAGGTATTTTCATGGTAGTACGACTTTGTTATAATAATGTTTGAGTGTAATCAGTCAAAACCAAGAATAATTAAACATAATTGCATGAAACGGAAGTTATGCCTCAACAGTGAAGCCAGACGACCGCCATGTTAATCCAGGCACAATAAACTGTGAGCATACAACGAATAAAATTCAGCGCTTGCCTAACACACCGCACAAATTTACCGTATTTACTAGATTCTACCGCGCCTTTGATGAACGCGCACCCGGTTTTCCATGACGAAAAAAAAAGTTAAACATCGATTGTAACGTGCACCCCTTTTTCGTGACGGAAGAAAAAGAAAAAAAAAAAGTCTGTAGAGTCAACCTTCGCATATTGAGAACAAGTATTCAGGTTTAATGCACTGAGGTTTCGAAAGATAAAACACAAAGTCAAACAGCCGGCCCAGCAGCTAAAACTGTGACCACTGCGGCGGCGTTACGAGTTGCGTAATGGGTCAGTCCTCATCGCTGTAGGACAACTCCTTATCGCTGTCACCGGGCTAAAGCATCTCATCCTCGGTACTGTCCATGGCATTCGAGATGCTACATTTCTTGAATGCCTTGATGACCATGGCTGATGATATTGCACACCAGGCGTCCTTCACCCATGCAGTGAAGCCTTTCAGAGAGGCGTGCTTCATCCTATTGCTTGACATGAAATCGTGTCGTCCGTCGATCAGCCAGTCGGTGTAGAGCGCCCGAATCTTTTCCTTTACTGGCTTCTTCAGGCAGACATCTAGCGGTTGAAGTTGAGGCATCATGCCACCAGGTATGATTACAAGGCCCGTATTGCACGCAGTGAGCTTGTGTTTGATCCACTGGTTGAGATGGCACCTGAATAGGGTCAAGCACGAGCATCGTTCGCAGGCCCAAACCTGGCGTTGGGCCATTTTTGCCAGACGTGGAGGATTAATCGGCGACCAGGTTTGTTGTCATCCAACTTTTCTCGTAGGCTTGCACGATTACACCACTCGGGAAAACGACTCCTTTCAGGAGCGTCTTCCGTTTCAATGTCGGGTAGAGTGGAAGCTTGTGCCCATCTGACGTGCAACAGAGCATTGCCGTCACTCTCGTTTTCTCATGGCCAGATGTCAGCACGCGAACTTGCTTCACCCCCTTCTCAATGGTTATGGTGCCAGGCACATCGAAGTAAAGACACGTCTGATCGGCATTGCCGATTTGCCCGAGCAGGTTTCCGTTGTTGTCCCGCAAGTCTAGGACGAAACCTCTGAAAACTGTGAAGCTTTTTTTCGTACTCCTCCGGCAACTTCTGGCATATGCCCGTTCGCCTTTCCTTCATAAAGTTTGTTAGCCAGCACCTGCTCGCTTTGAACTCTCTCTGCGTTAGCCCTTGCTTGCTACTGCTAGCTAACTGCATAGTCCGCACTTCGAGCAAAACTGTCGTCATGGGCCGCTGTGCCACTCGCTGCTCGAGCACATACTCAACGAGCAGCTCTTCAGTTTGCGCAAACCGGCCCTGCTGTGGTCCACTAAAGCCTTTACGTGAAGCTTTGCTGTCGACAATCTTCTGCTTTTGTTTCCGCCAGTCCCGCACGCACATTTCGCGGCCCGATTTTCATCCGTTTCTGCACGCGCGATGACTTTTTTTTAAAATTGGTATCGTGGTGCACTCGTCGAATTTTTAGAGTCGGCCCTTCCACGCCGTCGATGTGAATGCACTACAAGATGGCGAACTCTCCAGCACACGTACGAAGTGCCGTACACAGAAAACACAATGGCAGAAACAGACGACGTGCGTAGGAGGCGGCCATTTTTAAAATGCCGATGGCAATAGAATGACCGTATTCATTTTTTTTTTTGTACTCGATCCTAACGCTCATGCGATTTATGAAGCCCGCTTTACCAGAAAAAATGTACGCGTTAGATGCGAGTAATTACTGTGAATAGCAGCAAGTTTCCCATACAGACACTGCTGAGGAGGTGCATTAGCGTTGCTGGTTTCTTTAGCACTTTATAGCCTGAATTATGAAACTGCAAAACAAAATGAAAGTTCGTTTCTATTGTATAGCCTTTAATAGCAACCTTTAAATGATTGTGCAGTTAAACTATTCAGAATGCAACTACAGTTAAACCTCGTTATAACGAGATGGGCTATAACGAAATAATGATATAACGAGCAAATCCTAATTCCCCTTGAAAGTCCCCATACAAACCAATGTATTCAAAACCTCGTTTTAACGAGGCAAAATTTGGCTGTTATGGGATATAACGAACAAATTTTGTTAGGAAGTAAAATTTTGAGCCGATGGTCACGACAGGCACAACGCGGAATTTGAGACAGCGCGCAACGCAAGAACTGTATTTAGCAGTTCAAAACTCCCACCACGCGCCCTTCCAGCAACGCGCGCAAAGCAGACGGCACGCGCTGTTTCCGGAGAAGAGGTCGCTGCACGTGTGCCGCTTGGCTACCACCGAAGCGGAGTGCTCCGCAGCTCCGCGAACGTCTCACCCTTTTCTTTTCTTTTGTGTCTCTTTATATTCTCCCTCTCCCTTTCTCATGGCGCTGAGGCGCGCTTCCTAATCTTACATACCCCTCCCCTTGAGTAACCGGTTCCTAGAGGGGCAGCGCAAAGAGCGCCCCTTCTGCCCCTTCCTCTTCACCAGTCACTTTCTCTGCAAGTATGTGTCGCTCGCCGGTCGTGAGCCGCGTTTGCTTTTGCGTGCGGTGTTTCTTCTCTTTTTCGGCCGCTTCCCCCTTATCTTTATCTTGCTGTGCTCGTGATTCCAGCAACATGAATGCGCCAGGCGGGAAGCGAAAGCGCGTAACGCTAGATCAGAAGGCAGCTATGATAAGAGCCGTCGAATCGGGGACCAAGAAAGGCAACGTGGCAAGAGACTTTGGCGTATCGACGAGCACACTGTCAACCATCTTGAGCAAGCAGGAGTCCATCATCGACGCTGTTGCACGTGGCGTGAAAGGAAGCGCTAAAAGGATGAGGGCACCTGCCTTTGAAGCGGTCGAAAGGGCCGTTTTTAAATGGTTCTTTGACACGCGGGCCGTGAATCTGCCGGTGAGCGGCGCCTTGCTGCAAAGAAAAGCGAGAGACTTTGCCTGCATCATGGGCTATGACAACTTCGTAGCAAGTTCGGGTTGGCTCCAACGCTTCCAAGGAGCGCCACGACATTGTCGGGAGAGCGGTCTGCGGCGAATCGCAATCTGTCGACAAAGCAGAGGCTACCAAGTGGGCGAAAGAAAACATCATGCGACTGCTAGAGAAATACAGCGCGGAGGATATTTTAACGCGGACGAAACCGCCCTCTTTTTTCAAGATGCTGCCGCACAAGACGTTAGCCCTCAAAGGCGGCCGTGCCATGGCGGCAAACAAAGTAAGCTGCGGATCACTGCGCTACTCTGTGCAATCAGGACCGGCTCCTGAGAGCTGCCAATTTTCGTAATTGGCAAAAGTGCATCCCTCGCTGCTTCAAGGGGAAGAGGCAGCTCCCAGTCAAAGTACGTAGCCAATCTCAAAGCCCGGATGATCAGGGAGATTTTTTCAAAAGGGCTTTGCAAATGGGACGAGAAGCTGGCAAAGGCGAACCGCAGGGTGTGCCTTGTTTTAGATAACTGCACCGCCCACCATACCGCGGCCTGCTTCAAAAATCGAGCTGCTGTTCCTTCCTGCCAACTGCAACAGCAAAAATGCAGCCGCTTGACCAAGGTGTGATTATGCGCTGAAGGCAGGCTACCGCAAGCGTGTGATAGACAAGCTCCTGCTCAACATGAGGATGAAGCGAGACACCGATGTTGACTGTACGCTGCGCTCGAAATGCTTCAGGCGGCGTGGCTGGGTGTGAGCGGCGACCACGATCGCAAACTGCTTTCGACACGCCTCATTTGCCCGCCGCAACCAGACGCCAGCGATGAGCCATCAGACGAGCCCACTGTGCCGGTACGGTTTTGCCACATCAGACGAATTCGCTGCATCATGGACGGCACTTCGTGGACGCAGTGTCGTGCTTGACAGCGAGTCGTTTTGCGGACCTATGTGAGTGCGGACTCGGAAGTGGTGGCAACGGAGCAGCTCCTGGATGACGATATTGTGCGCGCTGTCAGTGATCGTACGAAACCAGTGACGATGACTCTGTCCGACGAACAGGAGACAAACGTGCCGACGGAGTCGGAGGCATTAGACCGGAATGGACGTACTGCGCCGCTACTTCGGCGCTCACGAGGGCGGCGAAGATGGCTTGAACATTGCGGCCGCAGCTGAGCGAGCCACGTTCGCATCAGCAAGAATGCATCAACGTCCAATTACGGACTCTTTGCAGCTAAGTCTGCCTGAAATGCAAGCTGTGTATTTTGAAGTGCATTAAAACAGGTGCATGACTTTTTCCTTTTTATTTGGGAATGCGGTTATCTTGTTGCATACCACCGTGCGACGGGATGCTATTTCGCCCGCTATTTTTTGGGGGTAAGTACAGTGCATAATATTTGCGATAAATTCCCGCTACGGCTATAACGAAATATTGGTTATAACGAGCAAATAGCGGCGGCCCTCCAATTTCGTTATAACGAGGTTTAACTGTATAATGCATACTTTTATGTGTGTTGCGAATTCTCCATGTGCCACAGAAGCAAGACCTAGCACCAAAAAACGTACAGTAGACTCTCAGTAAACGAAAATCTGTCAAACGAAAGTGCTGCTTAAATGGAACAACTGCCTCCAACACAATCGGTTTCAAGCTTGGATTCTCCACTCTCGTTCGTCTCTCAGTAAATGAAACTCCCGTTGAACAAAACGCATTTTCCTGGTTTCTTCAGGTTCCCTTAATGAGAGTTTCAGAACTATTGACTGATGTGTGGGGTTTAATTAACGTCCCAAAATCACCATGTGATTATGAGAGACACCAAAGTGGAGGGCTCTGGAAATTTTGACCATCTGGGGTAGTCTAACATGCACTCAAATCTGAGCACACGGGCCTACAACATTTTCGCTTCCATCGAAAATGCAGCCGTTGCAGCCACGATTCGATATCGCGGCCTGTGGGTCAGCAGCCAAGTACCTTAACCACTAGACCACCGTGGCGGGGACTTCATAAGTGTGTAACACGTCGTGTGCCACCTCTTGGGTGCACACACCATATAATTATACACAATTATTGAAGATAGAACTTATGTCACCCAAGAGAGAAAGAACAAAAAAGTGAGAGCTGTTGCCTGCGCTTCCCGCTCTCGACCATCAGCTACAAAACAATTCGTTTTAGCATCAAATACCTTAGACGAGACGACGCTAGATTTTTCATGCTGAAAGCTACGCTCTTCATAAGTGTTTGACAACCTGCATTAAAGACACTGCCGACTGATAATAGCTAATCAATGAAGTGATTTTAATTATACTTCCACTTTAAAGCTTAAATATGTAATTTCAAATGAAAGTCGCATACAAGTCAATTATCAATTACAATTATCAATTATCACATACAAGTCAATTTACACATGGCAATCTTGAAGCAGTGTCCCCAAACATGTACGTCACGATAATCTGCACGAAAACAATACTAGTGTTCTTGGACTCGTCAGCAATAAAGATCCTGATAGCATGGCGCTCTAACTGACTAAGCTTTCAGGTCCCGTCAATAAAACATACTGACAATAGTTTACGCATATGATCATTTTTCCAATGCATTAATGATGAATTTTTCACTAATACAAGCAATCTCTTGAATGATAAGCAGAGCAGTAGTTAATCAGTGTACGGCATCCTACCTGCTACTTACTTCGCAAGGAATGGATAGTAAAACATTTGTTATCTTTTTATTGCCAAAACAGTTACAAAACATTTGTAAAACTTATAGGATGACTCCAAATTAGGGATTGCATAGGCTTGGCAGATGCATTATTTAATGGGGACATTATGGTTGTTGCGCTAAGAAAATACAGACACATGAGAGATAGCAGGACAAGCACTTGTCCCTTCCTCTGTCATGCGGTCGTCTTGTATAGCGCTGAAATCAAGATGCTGTGAAGCGATCAGCTCGGCCAGCAACAAGTTCTTACCTATTGGCGTCGTGTCCTTGACTGCCGCCTTGCAGAGCTCAATCCTTGCCGAGTGGATGGGCACGTATCGGTCTGCATGGACCCGAAGAGCAAAACATGCTTGAAAAATTCCAATCCTGCAACACAAGGAGGAGGCAACGAGATAAATGTCTGCCATCATGCACAACACAACCGACTGCCACATTTACACGATTGTAGGTCAACCCACTAGTCTTTATTGGAAATCTGCAGTTGGGGGGGGGGGGGGACTAGTTTTCGTTGTAAGGTCTCTGAAACAGATCCCTACGTCTTCTCGCAAAACTATGTTTCGTTCACAGCTTCAAGCACTGCCATGAAGCCACCTTGGCACACCAGAATTCTTTGTTTTCTTCGAAGACATCGTAATTTATTTTTTGTTATAAAATGTGCTTGTGCTTTTTTTTTTTGCCGTGCAATTTTAGAGGGGGTCAACCTACATACAATCGAGACAACTCATAATATTCTAAATACGTTATACTGATACATGTTGTTAATACTGTATTATTCGAATGTAACGCGACCACGATTGTAACGCGAGGGGTGACTTTCAGTGCCGAAAAAAAAAAGAACACGAATGTAACGCGAGTAAAGCGGGGGAAAAAGTACCTTTATTTGCTGCACATGTAGTGCAAAGACATCCCAGTTTCTAAATAGTATAAAGTGAGTTTAGTTCATTTGTCGCTTTCATCGCCGGTGGTCGAGCCCTCTTTGTCACTTCTTCCTCCCAGATGAGGTCATCCTCCGTGCCATCCATATAGTTCGATATACAGCACTTTTTAAACGCGCGAACTATTATGTGTGCGGCAGCCCGTACCAAGCGGCGGACACCCACTCGGCAATCATCGCGACACTAGGTCGCTTTATCCTACCGTAGGTGTCAAAGCCCGATATTCTCGCATCCATTCTCCGTACAGCTGCCACATTCTATCCTTAAATGGTTTGTTCAGGCAGACGTCTAATGGCTGCAGCACGGACGTCATACCTCCGGGAATAACAGCGAGCTGCGTCTGAGTTTCCCGCATCAGCTTCTTCACTTCGGGCGTCAGGTGACCGCGAAATGAGTCGAGAACTAGGATGGAGGCGGGGTGGAGGAGCGCACCTGGCCGTAGGCACCACACAGTCTTGACCCAGTCAAGCATAAGCGGAGTGTCCATCCAACCTTTTTCTTGGCAGCGAACAATCACATCCCTGGGGAACAGCTCCTTCGGGATGGTTTTGCGCCGAAAAATGATGTATGGCGGCAACTTGCGCCCATCCGCCAAGCAGGCTAGCATCACGGTTAGCCGCGTCTTCTCGTTGCCTGTTGTCCTTATGCGAACTTGGGGGGCACCTGTTTCGCTAACAGTCCTTGACATAGGCATGTCCAAGAAAACGGGAGTCTGGTCCGCATTGCCAATGTGCCCCAACGGCATTTGCGACGAGCGGCGCAGGTCGAGCACATAGCGCTGAAACTCCACTAGCTTCGCTTCACAATCTGCTGGTAGCTTCTGCCTTATCAACGTTGTTCGCCGGAGGGAAAATCCATTTCTTCGCATGAACTTTTGTGCCCATCTACGTAAAGCCTTAAAGTTCTCCCGCGGGATCCCCATCTCTCGAGCTACGTCTCGGGCTTTCCACTGAATCAGCTCAACGTTGACCCCCAATAGGCGATTTCGCTGCTCAATCACGAACTCCGCCACTTTTTTTTTCGAGTTCTGTGTGACGGCCACAACGAGGTCCACGAAAGCCTTTTCGGCTGGGCTCACTCTTGAAGAGCGCTTCACGCTGGAGCCTCCACCCATGGATAGTAGATTCCGCCACATCTAGCCGTCGAGCCGCGGCTGAGTTCCCGATTTCCTCAGCCATCAGTATTGCACTTCTCCTAAAGCGGGCATCGTACTGAACTCGTCGCACTGCCATTTGCTCGAGCCGAAGTCGCGGAAGCACAAGGAAATCAAACCACCCGCAAAACACGTCGCTACAGTGGCTAGAATAGGGAAGTGTGATGAGCGCGCCAGCTAGCGCGTAACGCCTTGGGAGGAAATTACCAGATGGGCTGGCACACGTTTGCACATCACCCAAGGCGGTGATGCGCTGTGCAGAGACGGCAATCAACCACACGCGCGGCCAATGTGAAACATTTAAATATATTTTTTGCTCGTGCATGGCCTCAAATGGAGACCAAGAAAATATACTAATTAGCTTCTGGAAAACAGGATGCTTACGGCGGGCGACTGAACTGAAATATCATCAGGTCGACAAGATGCTAAAGTGAGCGTGTGACGGCACAGAAATGTTTTGTCGATGTGAAGTGGTAGAAGAGTAAAAGGATGAACTCAGTTGTGAGCCATTGCTTGCAACACTTTCCCAGCAGACTAACATTTCCTCAAGCACTAATCTGTAAATAAAGCTCCATCATTCATAACGTCATACTCAGAGACCAGAATCACGAGTGGTATTTGGATGAAATTCTTTTATTTTCTGCCCGCACGTCATACAAACGCATTTCTGAGTAGTGACTCACTATCTGTTTACAAGAATGCATTCTCAATAATTTGTCGCACGTCCTTTTTCATCCCCAAGAAAAAAATGTTTTATAGTTCACAAGCGCCTCACAGAACATTGGGCTGCAAGCCTAGGTGATCCGTCTGAGCTTCAGGTACTTTCTCTTTTCACGGGAAGATGGCTCACTCCTTGTGGAGTGCCTTTGTGTAAAAACGCAAATGGGGTGAGCAGAATAAAACTGTTTACTTGATTGGCGATGCTCGGACCATGTTGTGCGCAGCCCAGTGCGACATTTTTTATTTATTTTTTTCAAGCAGAAAACAAGCTTTTGCAAGCTGTCACTGTGAAGCTCGTTGTAGCTAAACCACTTCGAAAAAGTGATTTCAAAGGCGTCTACAAATGCGAACAGCTTTTTCTAAAGGCCTACCCATAGATGCCCGCACGAGAGGGGCAAAAGCGGTTGGCCACCAGGGAGCACTGAATCTGTTCTATACGTTGACTAGGCAGCGGGGCACTCTTTAGTCATCTAAAAGGGGCGCGTAAAATCTGCCTCATACACTGATTTAATAGGAAGGAGGCACCCTGCAATGAACCTTCCCCCCCCCCCCCCCCCCTGAACGGCAAGCGCGCCCATGGGTCTACCAATCCCTTTCAAGGCGGACATTTCGCCAATCACAGTGTGCTCAAAGTGCCGGGAGATGTACCTCTCGTTTAAGTGCAGCTTGCACACAGCCGCGTTTTCTTGAACCAGCTTCTCAGCGCGTGGGATCACTCTACGCCACTGCGCTAACAGAGCTTCGTCCTTCGGAACACCGAACAACGCATGCTTCTTTTTAGCTAACTTGTAGCCTGTAGTGAACCCCGGTATGAATCAATGGCTTGGCTTCGCGCCATGAGAGTGCATACGGAAGCATTGGTGTTAGAGTGCCACCGCAATTAAAAAAAAAGAGAACCAACGCGCCCGACGAAACTGTCGGAAACGTGCAAACAACGTATAACGATTGCGCGCGCCTCCATGCGGCTCCTCCTCGGAGGCTTCAGTGCACTCCATAGGCACCGCTTGCCGCTCATCCCACTTTCCTATTCTAGCCACTGTAACGTCGCGAACAACAGGATGGATTGGTTCGATGTTGCCAGCGTGCATATGTTGCCAGCACAAGGTTGAAAGATCGCTAGGTTGTCGTAGCCATTTAAGGAACCAGTGGGGCGGCCACCGCCAAGGCACGATTTGAGGTGCTTTGATTATAACGCGGACCCCCAATCACTTCAGAGAGATTTTTGAAAACTCACGTTACATTCGAGTAAATACGGTATTATTTTGAAGAGCGATGAGACGTAGAAGCGCACGCCCGCATTCCATATTTTTTTTAGTTTTCAACCCAGTGTCTAATAAACAAGACGTTCTCTACTTCTGCTCCGCTTCCTGGTTTCATCAACACCTGTCTAAGCACAGCAAGAGAAATAGTTTTTACCTCATCTGCACACATACATAATTACTGTTGAAGAAGCACTGTGTTCCCAACTGGGTCAGTGGCAATATTTCCGGCTGAAACATGTGGCTCGAACGCACAGTGTTATACAAAGAATCCAGATCATTCAAATTGACGAACAACTTGTCTAGTTCCAACAAATTCGTGTGCCTTTGAATGGAAAAATACTCCAGTGAATTCAAACTTTCAGAATTGTGCAGCAGTTGTTTCGCACAAGATCTTTTGTATCTATGAAGTGCCTTTTCAGAAAAATTGCACTGCCCTGCTTCTTCCTTCAACCCACCTCCAAAGTTTGTCAAATAATGCTGCTACGTACCCGGCTTCTGGCTGAGTTTGTAGAGAAAGGACTGCCGAATGTCAGCCGTGTCCGTCATGGCCAGCTGGAGCAGGGAACCAGACTTCTTCCACTTCTGCATAAACCACATCCCTACAGAATGGAGAACACGCGTGAAAAATTAAGTGCTGATCACAACATTCAAAACACATTATATCAAAGTTGCATGTTACGCGAAAATAAATTCGTTACATCCGAAAATTCGTTATAAAGGCTATTCCTAACACTATATCTATTGCAAGACTACTTTCATTTGCTTTGTTATAACCGGTAATTGTTGTATGCAGGTTCGTTATATCAACGTTGTGGTGTACACGTATCCCGAAGGAGTACGGCCACCAGCGTGGGTCCGTCTTAGCGAGCCGCAGGGCACGCGTCAACCGTCGCCGTGGCGGGAAACACGATACTGCTCAAAGTCGCAACACTTTATTGTGGCAACACCAAACGCAGTACAAGCCCGTTGCAAAAAGGCGCGGCGGAAAGCAAGTAGGCTTATCCACGCCACGGGCACAAAGTACTACACAGGGTGCCACGAGCACGTCTCCGCGGTAAAGGTAATCCACGGAGACACCGGGACAAAGGGGGCCCGGTTGCTCGAGCGAGGGCAAAGGCGCTCGCGTTGGCTTCGAAGGGAGACGGGTCGGCGTAGCTAGGCCACGCACTAGGACACCGTACTGCCCTTCGGCCGTGAGTACGCAGCGGGGCAACAAAAGGTGAGCGTTCGCATCGGGCGCGAGGCGCCGTCAGCGAAGTCCGACGAGCCCCGAGCGACGGGACTCGACGGACGGAAAAGAATGCGTGGCTCACCGTTTGAAGTCCCGGACTGTACTCCCCGCTCCCGACGCAGCGCGCGGAAAACCTCTCGGGGGTCCCCGCGCGCGGCGCCACAGTCAACATCCGCTACCGGGTGAGGGGAGTTAAACGTCACTCCGCCCTTCCCAGCGCGGCTGACGGCAAAGGAGGGCAGACATGTCGGGACATGAGAATGGCAGAAAGGCGGGAAAGCCCGCGCAAAGGCAGCGGGCCAGCCTCAATTCCACAACGTTTGAGTGTACGAACAAGTGAAATAGTATATCAGTATAAGCTAAGCAACACTAACACAAAGTTCATTTTCCACACCCTTGGCACTCAAGATGGCATCGAGCGTTCCGACCAACTTTGAACCTTTCACAAGGCAACATGTTCTACTCTAAAGTTAGAATGTGCCTTCAATTAGACAGTGGCACAGGTTACTTGGCGAGACCACACTGAGTCATGCAATACCTCGAGGAGGCAGACAAGGCTTTGCTTTTAAGAGATTGCTTTGTTTAATCTGTAATACGACAAGCTCTAGGGCAATGTAAAGATGCAGTTTGGATACTTCATTAACCCCCTAGGAAGTACTCTTAAGAATCTGAAACGATGCGAATGTCTCACAAGGTTTCAAGCAAGAATGGATTTCATCTCAGCTTAATATATTACACCATGGTTTCAGCCGAATAAGTAAACCATGCAAAGCCAGCAAGAGATCAGAATCAGACTGACCCATGTTGACGAGGCCACTGTTGTTGAACAGTGTGCCGAGGTGAGGGCCTGATAGCGAGAGAAATGTACACAGCAGGCTCAGGTAAGGCTTCATTTCGGGTCGGGTAAGCGCACTGCGGATGATGATGTTTCCTAACGAATGGCCGATGAAACTGCGGAGGAAAGAAGCAGCACGTAAACGCTCGATCGTCAATTAAGTCATCAACGAAATAAAAGCCCTCAACTGCATGCCCAGTTGATTAACGTTAACCCCTTTAATGCCACGCAAGCAAACAGCACAAGCATGTGCGCTCACGCACACACACACATATCAGGGTTGTTGGGTGGAGCTCTAACTTTCAGCCCCATTCAATCATTCTGAATGGTGCAGTGAAAGTTTACTTATTCTCGATTCCGCCGAAACAGAAGCCCGATTACATTCCAGCAATGGGTGCTAAATCAACATTTTTAGTTTTAAGTCTTGGAAAGATTCATAAGTAAATGGCCATCCCCAACCTTTTGTGGTTCATCGTCGGGAGACTACCGACTACACAACTCAACCGCAGCAACTCATGGTCAGACAGTGCTCGATAAGTCATTTTGTGGTTGATTCACGTGCGCACTTTCTCATTTCAGCATGCGCCATCTTTGAATGAATAGGAACAACTTTTACTTCAGCTTCGGTTTATTTAGTTTCTCAATGAAGTGAACGGAAAGTGGATAAAGGCTTTGGACCGTAAAGGGTTAATACTAATATGAGTTTTTTTCTGCCCCTTGCAGTGTGACAAAAACTGCCAGTGCTTGCAACATCATCATCCTAACTCACTTCCATTCAGTTGTGACTGCAACACTGCTGCCGATCAATCAACAGTCAATGAATGAAAAACTTTTTATTTCGCCAAGCAATGCACAAGTGATGGCATAGCTTTCATACTAACAGCACCATCAGGAAAATGTTAGTTATACACTTTAGAACTTTCAACGTGAGTATTAAACACGAGTCGTGCAAAATCTTTCAAATTGCATTAAAAAAATCGGCACCTTGAAACACCACCACTTTGTCCCTTTGCACATTTTGTGCAAAAGCCTGTAATGCGCAAATACTAATAGAGTGACAAGAAAATTTTTTGATCTGTGGGGCAGGTGTTTACTTCAAATGTCTACAAATGCTGGGAGTAGAAGAAGCTTAGCCGTGATTTTTTAGAATGACCCCTTTAAAAAAAAACTTGTCTGGGCAAGAAGAAAACCACAACATTAGTTTGCATGGGAGAGAACAAAGACTTGCCTGATTTTGGCTGGCTTCAGAGCGAACACTTCAATGTGGTAGCTAATCTCAGAAACGAGACGGTCTGTCATGGTTTCAAAGTCCTCAAAAGTTTCACCCTGTAATCAACAAAGCAGATAATTAAATCAACGGCAACAGAGCCATTGCAGAAAGCTTTGACTATGGGCACCGCTCTATGCTTGGTTGTCTAAGGCTCCAAGTTATGGCTATTACTGTACACTACATTGGCTAGTACTTTCAGTAATGACTATTACTTTACGCTATACTGGCTAATGCTCCAAGTTACAGCTACTGCTTTACGCTACATTGGCGGATGTTCCAAGTTAAAACAGTTGCTGTAGGCTCCATTGGCTACAGTTCGAAGCCATAGCTATTGGTCCAATGCTGCACTAACTAATATTCCATATGGCTTATGCTGCATGCTACATTTATTAAAGCTCCAAGTTATGGCTACTGCTCCAAACTATATTGGCTACTGGGGTACATTTTAATGAAGTGCATTTTACAGGAGCGCTGGTTTGTACTGGAGGGCATTTTAAATGGTACGATTGAAGTGATTACTTAATTTTGTGATGGACGATAGTTATAGCACGAGAACAGAACGAGGAAAAAGAGACAAGAAGGACACTTTGTCGTCATTTTGTTCTCGCGCTGTAACTATTGTCATGTCATACCAACTAGCCCAAACTGCCACACTTCTAAGTTACATTTGTGATAGAACTATGGATACATAAACACCCTTAGATGTGGGAATGATATTAACTGCGTTCAAAGTTTCAACCTGTCTGATAATGCACGACGGTTTACAGGACCACACAAGCACCAGACCTAAGCTCCGGTGCCGAAATTACCGGCGACGCGTCACAAGGGCGAGGTTCATCTGATGGGCAGCAGATGAACTCCTCTAAGTTCGGGGCGACTTCAACACCTTCATGGTAAAAAAAAATCCTTCGATGACTTCACATTTTTACACCGTGCAATAGGAGCATGCAGCCCCATAACGAGCTACGGCTGTAGCTAACTTTTTTTGATCTGATTTCGTGAAACTGCAAAACGCTGGTGTATAGAAATAGGGCCACTCCGAGAAACAGCAGTGTTCGTGCAGTGATATCGAAGCGCGGAGAAGGGTAGACGAGCTGTTTGCTGATGCTTGCTGAAATAGCGCGCGTTCAAAGTTCACAGTTGCCGATTGAGCTCAGAGCATCCTACCTCAGCGTCTCTTCATACTCACTCATCCAGCAAAAAATGGACAGGGCTGCCTTTCCAGTTGAGGAGCAATCGACGATAGGCATCGCACACGGAGTGATGTTATGGAGATGAGCAGCTGTGCTTCAGCAGTGTTCCTCGCTAGCGCTCGCTAGATTTTACTTGTGGGAGCAGCGTACAATGCGCGTAAAAATGTTATCGATGTAGACTTTATACGGACCATGACGGTGATGATGCAAGCCTGTACAGAGTATTCATATCATTCTTTTCGCAGTAAAAATTTTTATCAGAAACGTCGAAGGAGCTGGCTTTTTTTCTGGAGAGCTGCGTCATCTTCGCTGTAAAAAATTCGTCCGTTGAGAGAATGAAATGATCTGGCGCTTTTTCATTTCATTGCATTCTCCACTACACTCCTTTAACTATAACTCTTGCAGGCTTCACCTCTTCCACACTTATGTCTTCATAAGGCACGCATACAATGCAGGCGCCAAGCGTTGAGCCTATCAGTAAGTCGAGCTTGTCAACTACATCCTTGTTATTTCTGCTTGCACAATTGAAAACTCCCAAATTGCTGCGAAATCACAAGTTCATCGCGCGCGATGGTCATGCTATAATCATGCCACGTGAATCACCGTCTTGGCATCACGAAGAGAGCACAAAAAAAGAGAGAGAGAGAAATGACAAAAGAGAATAATGCGATTGATTGTGTATTGTCAGAAGCTGCTTTAGAGACCTTATAGTGACGGCATGCAAAGATGGACACAAGAGAGTAGGCAAGACACTGAAAACACTGCTTTCGAAATCTTGAAGCTGCAAAAAGGAAGGTGAAGTGATGTACTTTAAGCCCACGTTTCCCGCTCGGGTTAAACTGAGACTAACGACGGCGTGTTGCAATTATTGTGCAGCGGCGGCGTAGTCTTTCTCAAGACTTTGGCGACGGGCAGCGCGAACGGCGCAACCAAAAACAGGCGGCAGCGCACAGCTCCACCAGTGACGCAGACGTGTAAGAAGTGCCATCTCATGTTATAGTATTCAATCACAGCACAAACATATTTCAACACGTCCCTGTACCAACAGGAAGGCGCAAAGACAAAAGCAATCTTCTGAACATTAACGACTTCTCCTGTTAACACCTTCACACATTCAATGTAATATGTAAGCAAAACCAATCTGAGCAGGCTCGAATTATTTTTCATAATAATTTAGTTAATAAAACATGCACAAAAGAAAATAAGGCGTAAATAACAGCTAGTCACCTGATTCCTTTCGGACATGAGGAACTCAAAGTTGACCATGGGTAGGCCCAACTCAAGGTACGTGCGGACTAGCCTCAAATCGGCACTGTTTCCTGCATTGCAAAAGCAGAACAAGAGTTTTAAAAATATTGTTCAAACGTTGCACATGACGAGGTCTCAGTATACAGATATAGCCAGGCAAAATGAAGAAATTCAAATTCTTGAAGTGCATGTTGACGAAATCAATCATATTGGAGGCAGTTGTACCATTGAAGCGGTTGTTCCGCTCAACAGATTTCCGTTTACTGGGAGTCTACTGTATGCTTAGTGTTGAAACTTCTCAAAAGCTACACTTAAATATGAGTGATATAGCTATTGAAATAAATCAGTCATTGAACCTTACTAGTAATTCCGAAGTCAGTGTTGTATAATTACATAGTAACATGTTATCGATGTCAACTAAGCATAATTTGCTAATATTTTTCAATGCTTGAGAAGTTTTAAAATCTTTGCGCTGGAGAAGCATGCACAGGTAAACTAGTGCATGCTGGTTTAAAGATTGAAGACTAGACACTGTTTAGGCACGTACCATCCAGGCCATGCACACATATCACAAGATGAAGTCCTTCAGGGCTGAATGCTCGCAGGTCGTTATCACACTGGAAGTAGGGGACTGACGATGCAAGAACCGGGAAATCACTGCAACGAGGCAGTAAGCAAAAAAACGCTTGAGAACTTTGGTTGAGAATTTGGGAAACATGAGACATGCTCCACTAATGAAGCAGCAAGGTCTGGGTATTGCTTCACATGGGGCGTAGAGCCACATCTACAGTAACACATCGACTTGCAAGTAGCATGTACCACACATTTAAAACCACTCCCTTTAGTTACCGACATCAACTTGGCACGAAATGCTCTCCTGCTCTTGTGTGTAGAATTCCGCGAATGCATGTAGCGTTATCTTTTGACCGGTTCCACCACAACAGCACTGCTACAGGACTGTCTGGGCGTAATTCTAACTGGACAACTCATCGCGATCAGCCTGACGAACTCCACTGCAGGGCAAAGGCCTCTCTCATGTCTGTCGATCGTCTCGGCCTATGCTTTCTGCTGCCACATTGTAGCTGCAAGCTTTTCAACTTTACCTGCCCACGTAACTCTCCCCATCGCGAGTTCGCCTTCTCTTGGAATCAAGTCAGTTACCCTCAATGACAAGCGGTTATCCAGCCTCTTGCCACGGGACCGGCCCATGTCTATTTCTTCTTGCACTGAAAAGGCAACTTGGACCAGTTGGTTTGGATTCATCGTGAATGTGGTTTACAGCACGACACTAGAAGCACGGACACAGGGAAGAAGCAAAAGAAAAAACGGCATTGTCTTTGTTTTCTCTTTTGCTCCTTCCTGGTGTCTGTAGCTCTAGTGTTGCGCAGTAAACCGAGATCACGATATTTTTTCTTGATTGGATGAATCTACAGCCTTTTAACTCGACCAATTAATCAATTATTGATTTGATATGTGGGGTTTAACGTCCCAAAACCTCCTCAATTAATCAATCAATACTCTTGAACTATTACAAAATCAGGCAAAATATGCAAAGTTCAAAAATCGAAGAGGTGCTTATGCTTGCAAAAACACTTCTAGTAAATTTCGATAGCACCAACTAATTTCACAGTCCTGTTAAGATAGCATAATTACGAGTCAACTGCTCGTGACTACCACTGCATAAAATGATGATAAATACAATGATCACCAGAACCAGGATATCAAATCGAGAAGCAGTACTGACCTGTACCAGAGCCAAGGCATGTTTAGGTGGGCACGAAATTCTTCTTTCGCCTTCACAAAGCTGAATAAAAAAAAAGATAATTAAAATATGCTCCCAAAATAATTCTTTTCCAAATCATGTGCCTAAATAATTAGCGGGCTCAAATTTGGGCACTGGTTCACTCGCATTTATGCCCCAGCGAATGACTTAATTTATTTTTTATGAAGGTTATGACAGGCAGCAAATTTGCAAATAATGTTGAAGACAGATGTAGTAGGAGAAGATACAGACCAGACCAGACTGATACATAATTCTCGAGAAAATCACATCGCAACAATCTTACTTCATTACACTGCATGCTAATGGGCCTTGGCCAGGACCAAAAAAAAATTTGTACAGTGGACTCTCATGAAACCGAACCTGAAGGGACTGAAAAAACGTGTTCCGTTTAAAAGAAGTTCCATTCACTGAGAGGTGAACTGCGGTGCAGTATGCAGTGATGAAACCAATCATATCAGAGCCAGTTGTTCCATGCAGACGTTCCGTTTATCAGATTTCCGTTTACTGAGAGTCCACTGTATTACCCCTGAATTCGTACGAGCATTGATCGTATCACCAAGGTTCTACTGTAGATAACTCTTCCGTGATCCTCTTTAGATACTTATCTGGGTTCGACTGCATGTTAACTAAGAACCACTGAACGTGTTGTGCAACAGTCTGCAAACATGTTACTACGTCAAGACCCCATAATGCATCACAACAAAGAACGCACCTGACAATGTCAGCATTGACTGCAGAAGCCCTCCGCACGGAAACGACGTCCTCAGCTTCGTCGTTCGCATTTTCGTCTTTCTCGGCCTCTATCTGCTGCCAGAATTCCTGCGACGCCTCCACAACACTGTCCAGGGCCGCATGGTACTCGTCTTTCGGGTCGGTCAGCATTTCTATCAGAGTGCACTTCGTTTCGAGGTACGACCTACACTCTTCGTACCGCCGCCTTGCCTCCTCGTCTGAAGGGCACACTTCTTTCTCGACGCCGTTCTGAATCATACTGGGATCCTCTGCGGGCTGTTCTTCATCGTCACCGTTTTCAACAGGCACGGTAGCCGAGCTTGGAGCCTGATCGCTCGCAAACTCAGCCGGTGGCTTTGGGAAGAATGCCGTACCTTCGCATGCCATCATGGGAGGATTCACGGGTTCGACCGGTTTTTCCACAGACGGGGTGGAACCATTAGCATTTTTTTCCCGAGAGCAGGAAGAGTTGCTACACTGTTTTTCTTTACAAGATGACGTTGAAGAAGTACGGGCAACAACATTTCCAATGGCAGCATCCTTGGGGTTGTCTCGAAACTGCGGTGGTGGTAGAGGAGGCAATGACGTACCGCCATCGAGCGGTGATGTAGCATTTTTCTCTGGCATCGGAGCAATCGTCACAACGTCGGAGGACGTGTCTGCGCTCTCGTAACCCGATGTGGACTTACTGGAGCCTCCGGTTCCGGGACAGAGAAAGACCTCGTCTAACGAATCTCTCCTCGAGTCGGGAATTCCGAGAGATTCCCTCCTCGAGTCCGGAATGCAGAGGGATTCCCGTCTCGAATCGGAAACTCCAAGCGATTCCCGCCGAAAGTCAGGAATCCCAAGAGACCCTCTCCTCGGGTCGTGTGCATTCGAAAGCGGCGCTGAAGTGCGACGGGCGTCGAAACCCACATGGCACGATGACGTGGACCGCCTGTATTTCGCGGCCGTCAGGCTATGAGCCAGGGCAGTCCGAAGGTGTGGTCTCACGCATGAGCACGACTCCGACACCGCCTTTCTTGCAACGAGCGGATCACTGACAAACAGCGCATCAAAGTTGGCGTTGAGACTGTCGCTTGCTACTCGTGACCTTGGTGGTGGCGGAGCTGGAGGTACAGCTTGTGGTGCCGTCCGTGCCGGCACCGCTACCAACTGGGTTGTCAGGTCGGGCATCGACTCACTGTTGAGAAGGTGAGACTGCGAAGGCGTTGCGGCGGTTCGTGGAAGTGACAAATTCGCCGACGTGACTGCAACTGAGCTCTGCGAGTGCTTCATCTGCGAGCCGGAAGCGGTCCCACCGGCTTCCACAGCCCGGTTCCGAAACGCATCAAGTTTCTTGAACGCAAGCAGCGTTACGGACGAGTTGTTGAGGTGCGGTCGTTTCAGCTGCCGGAGCAGGCTGGCAGTGCGTGCTTTTAACTTGACTTTGCCTCGCGACGATGAAGCGCTTCCTTTCCCAGAACGGGTGGCACCATCGCGGTCTTGGGTATCTGCGGACGATGTTGATGATGTAGAGGTGGGAGAACCCAGGTCAGCATCAGCGGAGAGTGTCGGCGAGCCATGTTGTAGCGGCGCTAGTTTCTCGCCCAGCAACTTGGAAGCCACTGCGGCCCTCTCTGACAGCTTCATACTGCTGACGGCGGATGCCGAGGGACGCTTGTCATCGAACTGGAGCGAAATGTCACTGAGATTCAGACAGGACTCTGAAACAGAAAAGTATAAATTACTTGTTAACACGTATAAAAAACTGGTAACGTATGCAGAAAACATTGCAGATTCTAGAACACGTACAAGATGCTAAACGTCATAAAACCTTGCCCTCGTTTTACAAGCATTGCAATATCAAAAGAAAAAATAAGTTGTTGTCTGAGCATTGACACAAAATAAGATGTGTACAGTTTACAAAATATAATACGATGCTTCACAGTCAGTTTAAGGATAGGTACAGAGAACGTAAGTTAGCTATGCTAATTGCTCCATATCTCTAACAACTATTTTTCGGGCAAGAGCTATTAAATTGTAGTCGGCAAATACAACGTAAGACGATACTGACAAAACTACTGCTGTAGTACTAAACACAGCTTCCGTTTTATAACTTCACGTATTTTCAAGATTGCACTATCTTGTTCAGGAACCTCTGTTGAACGTGATTTCTCTAAACCAATTTTCCCATAAACTGCAGAGAAATGTGCACACTGTGTTGGTCCGCTTCAAATGCTAGGTCTTAATTGCACACAACTTATATTCTGACAATGGAGCTGCAACACCGTTGTCATGGCCCAAACAGGAAACTGTTAACCTTTAGCGGAGACTGCCAGGACAATATGGTCGAGCCAGCTTATAACGAACCTGAGCATGACGAGTCATCCATTTGCTGTATCTCGAAGTTCGTAGTACCGTATTTACTTGCATATTACGCGCACTTTTTTTCCAGAAAATGGGGCTTTAAGTTCGAGGTGAAACTATTACGCAGGGTAAATTTTCCTCAAATTTCATGTTCGACTAGTATAGATCGTGGATAAAATATGGGTCGCCGAACTCACGAATATCCCCACTACAGCCAAATCAACCTCCTTCACAGGCTACACTTGCGCGAAACATGTTGAGCCTGCTGTATCGCACGTCCGAGAATCGAGGCTTGCGATGCCGCATTCAAATTTCCGAAAATTAACCTTGAGAGACTGGTGCTGCCAACAAAATGAATGCGAAAAAAAAAAATGAACCCGTAAAGAAAGTGCCGTCGTGGGAATTGACTGATTACATTGCAAGCCACTTTGATTATGCACATTACTCCAAACGAAATTTCGTGCGCTTAACTGTACTGATAATTCATTTAATGGGCTCGTACCCCATATCCAAGGACATTGCAATCGAATCGCAAAAACCATTTGAGTGTTACAAGTGCCACCCAAGGCCCCATTTGGTACAAAACCCCAACTTTGATTGTCTGCAACTGCCACCTAAATAGCACCAACAGTGATTAGGCCTAGGCTATGGTTCGGCATGTTGTCGTGGAAAGTTGGTACAAGACAACATGAAGATTGGGCGTCGAAATGATCGCAATCAAGCAATGATCTAAAAGCAGAGGGCCTAATACAATGTTTAGTTTTAAAGCCAGTAAATCAATGGTGACTAAAGTTTGCCGAGCTTGTGCAAGTCCCAATGCGGCATAAAAGGCTGAAAGCTCGTTCAGAAAGCCAAAAAGCTTTTAAATTTGCGGACAAGGTAGCAAACGCAACAACCACGACACTTTTTTTTGACAGGAAACTCAATGCACACTAGACGACGCAATTACATGTTCCATGCGGAGCGCGTGTGGCCGGAGCCACGCCGGCACCGGTGAAATGGTTATTCCGACACCCAGAAAACTGTCCTTCTTCCTCACTCGGCGAGCCCGAGAAGCTGGCACAGTGCTGCCACAGTCTTTTTTTTTTTCTCTTTATTTTTTTACCTTCACTTCAGTTAATGTAAGACGGCATCGAATTGCAACTGTGCAAATGCAATGATCACGGCCAAGTTCTGTGTGCGCCTATTATACGCGGAAATAAAAAAAATCTTATTTCTCGCGACCAACCTGTGGGTGCACCTATTATGCGGGTGCGCATTATGCAAAAAATACGGTAAATGAAACACAGCTTTAAAAAAGTTGCGTGTAAAACCACAACTTTTTGTTCGCAAGAAAGACTGTAATGTATGCGACTGTAGAGCAGAAGTGATGAGGGTGGTCCCGAGTTTCTTTAAAGTGGCAGCGTGCTCTTCGTCAAAGCCCATAGCATAGCTGCCCGAGGCTACTAATGCAGCCAATCGCTACAAGCGCACTTGTGGGTACTGGCTACAAAGTTTCATCACCGTCATCCTCCGATTCCTCTAAATTGCTCTTGCCGCGCACTTCATTCACACAGCCCTCATCCGTGCATGGTTTCGCAGCGTCAGCATCATCATTGGTCACAATGAAATCATCGCAGCAGTCCCCCTCTGCCACGTTGGAGTCGATGACGCGCTGCCACAAATCGCCGCTGGAGTGGCCCTGTTCAGAAGCTTCAAGCTCGGCATCGGGTCCGAGGTTGACAAAGTAGGCCTCACAAAAAGTTTCGCACATATCTAGCCGTCACCCCTGCCCAAAAATTCTTCACCATCTACATCTGAAGCGGGCAGTTGGCTGCTGGGCGGTCAACAGCTACGAGCAGGAGCTCCACAACGCAGCACCTATAACAAGTCAAACTTTCAAATTACGCCCAGGCCAAGCAGTCAATGTTGGCTAACAATGTTGGCAAACGGTCTGGCGACTACAGACTGAAGACACCAACGATAGTGGAACAAGACCAGCGATCGAAATCTGAGGGGAGACTAGCCAGCCTACAGGTCTTCGAATGATTGTTGGCAGTATGAAAACACGGGCCTTGTCTTGCAATGTGGGGTGCCCAGAGTAGCAAAGAGTACAAAAAACGAAAGGGTGCATAACAAAAAAAAAAGCAATCAGGGACAGCAACAACTATCGGGCTGTGAAGGCAGAGTCGGCGTTTAACAATAAAAATCTATGGGCAACTTGCCGATGACTTATTGGCAGTGAATAGTGGTTTCGTGAGATATCGCCGGAGCACCGTCTCCGTTCACTGTAACCAATCGACGGCGCTCAAAGGCGTTCATTGTAAGTGTGATTTTGTGCCATTGAAATAATGTACATTTCCACTGTCACGTTGGTACGATTCGTTTTAACTCTTTCGTTACCACGCCTAATGAAATCGATCACCGGTGATCGACGCTTTTGGATCATCCATTTTGGCTTGTTAAATTTGTTTCTTGTGCACCCAGCACTTTTTAGTAGTTAGTTCACCCACTCAACTTTCAGATTCAATTTGAATTTGCCCGTTTCGGCAACATAGTGCTTGAATTCTTACTTATACATTTTTAGTTGATTTATGTTGCCTTCGTGATTTGCGCATCTGACACTTGTTTCTTTTCTTTGTCTTTTTTTCTTGTCCTTATTCCTTTGTGTGTTATAAAATGTTGTACCCACCCCCTCTGTAATGCCCTACGGGCCCTGAGGGTATTCTAATAAAATAAATAAATAAATAGTGATTTTCGACAGACCTTTTGTTCGAAAGGGGCACTAGGCTGGCGAACTCGACAGAAGTGTGTGCCCCTTGTGATTATGGTACAGTAACATTGAAGTTCTGTAATGAAAAGAGCCTTTGCAAGCCGAATATAGCTTCGCAATGTCACAATGTTAAACAATCATAATTGCTATAATAATATGCCAGATATTCAATAGAGAGCTGTTGCTAGGAGTCGGGGAAAATTTGTTCTACAAAAAACATTTGCGAAGGTCCGCTGTGTGTCTTAAGTGTCGAAGTGGATCTCTATGAGAGTTTCCAGCAACTTTACTGTTGCTTGCATAGTTATATCAGACACAGGGTTGCATCTAGCGATACTAGTCGCCCCTATGACGCCGTCGTCACGCGCGCATGTGTGCGCACCAGCGCTGCAAAACTCGTGCACTCATCGAAACTCTCTTGTTACCCCATCTGAATTGAGTGATGACAAGCTTAGAATTTAAAGATGACAGCACCTGAGCTTCAAGTTTTATGGCGATGATGTTTTGCGTCAGCCTGAGGAATCCGCAGCCGTTCATGGGTTTGTTTTGTTTACATCCTCAAGTTGTCTCCTCCGCCACAACTGCATATAGCTTCTGACCTTTGAGCACAATCTTATAGCTACTCTGGTCACGTGTGCGCTCCACACTTTGCTGGAGCGCAGTGTGCTGGCACTGGCTGCAGGGCTTCTCCTAGCTACAAAATGCTCCCAGAGCACATCTTGGCCCTGACTACGGAACAGTGCAAAACCTCTTGGAACTGCACGTGATATTATCCTTTTTTTAATACGATGTGTTCAAAAATGAAAAAAAATCTTATGCTTGGATACATATATGAGAACGTCTACCTACGCGAAGTGAGGTGACTCATGGAAACGGGTGGCGCTATATGAAATAGAGAAGTTCATTGGACACTTTATTTGTAGAGGAATCATTCACATCACGGGTATCCGTCTATATTGGGACACCTGGAGACTTTTATGGCAAGACAACAAAAATTTACTGAGAAAAAAGTACAAGTACACTTGTGTCTCACGGAAAACTATGCAATGCTTCACCACATGGCATGAGCAATGCAGCAGCACCTCGGTTCTGATTTTCTTTGTCTATGTGAAGAGGAACATTTCCTACAACACTTGTTATTTTTACAGTGTTCCTGGATCATTTTTCTACAAACTGTATATTCTGAATTTTCTTTGTTCTGAACATTTCTGAATATATAGTGTTTTCTGTTGCACTGTTTACCATCTGGCAACCAAAAGTTCCACACTTTTCACAATTTTATTCGTTCTAAAATATTTTTCTTCCTCTACAACATATATTTTTTGAAAAGAGCATTTCATTGTGCAAAGTTTGGTATGCAGTGATGCGTGCTGGAGTACTTTTCGAAGTGGCAAGAACGATCTTCTCGAGACATATCAAAAACAGCGGTTTTCGTGCAGTAACGAAAGAGTTAGGCAAAAGTTCGTTAAGGGGGCCCATTATATGTGCGCTCAACTGTATCACAAAATGCAACAAATGGACAAGACAGAAAGCTCACGAGATGCACAGCCTTGAGGTGTTGTCTTGAAATCCTGGTAGTGTTCCTCGTATATGATGGGCAGGTTGTTGCTGTCGCCGTCCAACTCGGCACACTCAACTTCCAACGGAGGAAGCAGGGCAAGGTATTCGGATCGCCGAAGCGCCTCCGTCACCTCAAAGAAGAGTTGCGTGCTGCAGTGAATGCAAAAAACACTGTACAAAAGGCAATGCAACTTTAGATTTAATGCACAGACAGGTTTACAGTTAAAGAGAACACTTTCATGTGCGCCATGTCCGGATTTCGCTCTCTGGCGAAAGCGTAGTGGCTTAGATTTGCATAAGACCGCTGCTAATTGACTTCTTTGATAGACTAGTGCGGCGCACGAACAATGTTTCTACTTCTACTTGCAGTTATGATGCCCGCCACATAGCAGGTGCTCATCAGAGCATTCTCTTTAACAATGACGGTACTGTACATCCAGCTACGGAGGTTTATGAGCATGAAGTCCACGCCAAATGCAAATTTCTGCTCTGTTATGGCATGAATTCCTAACCCGACGTACCCGTTAAAACGCGTCCCCGTGCCGCAATCAGACTTGGCAAATGACTACGCGGAGCTACGCACCCTTTTTTTGCATGAGGAGGCGGCAAAGGGACTGAGTCTACACGCCGATGAGTTGTAAAGAGTACGTGGTAAATTTCTGCTGTTAAAGCGCAATGCTACCAGTTTAGTGGGAAATTAGGTAGGTTGTAAAAACTACTAGGGTGGGAAACATTTTATTGCTTCACATTGTAGGCTAACTGGTAGTCCAGTTTTTTGGAAATCTCCTGACCAAAAGCTGTTGTCGAGGACTGTGCTCTAGCTGTCAAAAGTATAGAGAGCAGAGAAACAAACCCAATAACAAAGCACTGCTTCGAACTGAGTAGTACATGCCTTAACGTACAAGGTTTGTTTTGAAAAAGAATTAAAAATGCAATGAAACAAAAAAAGCAACAGACACTGAGCTTTGCATGAATAAACCCCGTCCATACTCAGTAGGCCACCATAACACTTGCAAAGTGCCGCCTATTGCTTGATATTATTAGTGCGAAAGAAACACTACACTGTGACTGGGGGCTCAATGTGCCGCTAATAGAAATTAAGAAAAAATTTTTTTGCATATCTGTTCTGCTTGCAGTCTATAATTCACTCGAGTATGTACAGAGAGTCGGCGAACCAATTATTTTTTCGCCAGAACAGTACCTGACAAACAGTGCAGTGAGTATATATTGAATTACTCTGTGGCTATCACGGCTACACAACTCATAGTTCATTACAGAGCTATGCTATCATCCCTCCATAACTATCACAGCAGAAATCATGCGATGCTGTGTTACATTAAAGGGACACTAAAGGGGAAAAAAACGATTTTGGGCTAATGAGCAAATTGTACATTATCATGGCACCAAAGACACCGTGCTTACTGCACGGAAAAAGAAAAACATAGATGACCATGCCACCTCGTAGTTCCTGCACCCATCACCGTGATACCACAAATTTCGCTGGCATCTACAAGGTCCCTGTTCGTTTCTGATTTGTAAAAGTAAACGTAGCATTCTAAGGGGACCCACAGACTTGGCATACAAAGTTTCAAAAAATTTCCAAGAATCAATGTGGCCAAAATACGTATAACACTGAAATCCGTGACATCAACATTTGAGTTTTAGAACAAATATTTAAACAGCAAAATACTTTAAATTATTTAACCAATCATTTTAAAGATAGTTTTTCTATTTAAGCAGCCATTCCTTTTAACAAATTTTTGTTTATTGAAAATCTACTGTATTATTAAATTTATGGTGGTGAAATTAACGAAGACACTGTTTTCAGGGTATCATCTCTGCATGTCATCTGTCAACTGTCTTCAGGGTATAGTTTGTCAGTCTAAACTAAATTATTGTTCTACTTTGATGTCCCTTTAATTTTCGGCTATGGAGTATCCGGCATATTACAATAAACTATGGTACCTAAGGCACATTAATTGTATGACAGTTACGTCTGAATGGATACATCAGAGTTCGACTGCATTGCCTTACTCAATGCCATTCACTGCTACACTCGAACCTTATTATAACAAAGTTGCATCTCGCAAGAAAATAGGTTTGTTATATATCAAAACGTTTGTCCGCTATAAATTCGGTTCTTCGTGAAGGTTATTCCTAATAGTGCATCTATTGCACAACCTTTTTTACTTACTTCGTTATAACACATATTTGGTTACATCAATGTTTGTTACAATAAAGTTTGAGTGTACTGCCATGCCCTGGAGGTTTGTCTCACCTGGCATCATTGGCCGACAGGACGGCGATGCGTGGCCGCTCGATGACGAAGTAGGCCTCAGCGAAACGCTTGACGCGCTGAAGGTGGCGCTGGCGGGCTAGCTGTTGGCGTACTCTGTCCTGGTCGGCAACCACTTCGAGGAACTGCTTCCAGAGCACAATTAGGGCCCCACAGAGCTGCGCCACGTCACTGTGTGCCACTGCCACAAAATCCTCTTCATTCTCTGCTTGCTGCGCATGCACATAAACACGCTTCGTCAGCAAATGTGTTAACAATAACCGAGCACACGCAATGTACATGCAGGTAACTGTCACTAGCGAAGTAAACTACTACTTGATGGCAAGCTGACTTCTGTGCAGGAGATAAATTCATAACTAAGCGGAAGCACTACTAACTCCGAACGAAGGTATTTCATTGAAAACGAGTGTTTACATGTGCACAGCGCTCACAGATCAAAATGTGGCAATAAGTTTCGAGGGAGACTTATTTTTACACGTTCTTAAAGCGTGCCACGAAATATGCAAGTGTTCCACCTAAGTTTGTGCTTTGATGCACAGAACCATATTTTCTCACAAAAGTAGTCAAAACAGTGCATTTCTGCCACAAGATCGATAAACCTTGCAGTCTGTGCGACCCTCGAATTTTATTCCAAGTGACTGCAATTTATCAATAGCAATGTATACTTCTACATACCGTATATACTCGTGTAAGGGCCGCCCTCGTGTAAGGGCCGCACCCCAACTTTGAAAGCGGATATTTCGAAAAAAAAAAAAAAACAAAAGTTCAAAATGCCCCGCCAGAAAAGTGTAGTTAGTTCATTTACAGCCAGATGGCGCTGCACGCTTTTCCGCTTTTATTCTACTTCCGCCGACGCGCCGACCACGCTGTTGACAGCGCGCCGCCATATTTGCCTTGTGCGGCCTCTTTGTTGGCATCGTTCCTAGCATCGTGTCGATACGTTGGCAGCGCGACTTCAGATCGGTGTCGTCGGTGTCACTTTGTTGGTTGTAGTGAACCCTGCAGAAGCCAGCGCACGTGACGGACGATGGGCCGGCATCTGAGATCATTCACTGCAGCATTTAAGCTGCAAGTGATTGACTATGCCGAGGAGCACGGGAAGCGGGAAGCTGGACGAAAGTACGACGTCGATGAGAAGCGCGTGCGTTACTGGATGAATCAGAAGATGCCCTCGCCGCTACTAACAGGAGCCGAAAGGCGTTTCGCGGGAAAAAGTGCAAGTACCCGCAACTCGAAAGCGAGCTCGTCAACTACGTCGTCGACACACGAAGGGACGGCTACGCCGTATCGACTGACATGATACGCGTCAAAGCCCTCAGCATCGCTCGCCACATGGAAATACCCCCGGCACAATTCAAGGCAAGTCGGGGCTGGGCTACGCGGTTTATGAACCGTAACCAGCTTTCTATTCGGCGCCGAACGACAGATTTGCCAAAAACTGCCGCGCGAGTACGAAGACCACGTCATTAAGTTTCATCGCTTCGTGAATGCTCTCAGGAGGGAGCATGAATACGACCTGTCCCAAATTGGGAATGCGGACCAGACACCTGTGTGGTTCGATGCACCGGAAAGCACCACAGTGGATTTAAAAGGTGCGAAAAGTGTGTCTGTGCGCACGACTGGTGCAGAACGCCAAAGGTGCACTGTGATGTTGTGCATCACGGCAGACGGCAGGAGGCTTCCGCCGTACGTCGTATTTAAAAGGAAGACTCTCCCAAAAGAGAAGTTCCCTCAGGGAATCGTCGTACGTGCGCAAGAGAAGGGCTGGATGTCCGAGGAACTGGTCGTTGACTGGATTAAGACCGTCTGGGCAAACAGACCTGGAGGGCTGTTACAAACGGAAAGCCCTCCTTGTTTTGGACAGCTTTAGGGGCCACTTGACCGACCGCGTCAAGAACCGAGTTGCCGCAACTCGTACGGACTTGGCCGTCATTCCCGGTGGCCTGACGAGTGTGCTGCAGCCGCTCGACGTATGCGTCAACAGACCATTCAAAGTGGAATTTCGCCGATGTTACTCTGAATGGATGGCTGGAGGCGTCCACGAGAAGACCCTACAGGACGGCTGAAGCGGGCGTCGCTCCAACAGGTGTGTGAAGGATTTGAATGCGTGGCGTGCCATGTCAGTAGAAGTAGTTGCTAAAAGCTTCAAGGTAACGGGAATTTCGAACTCCATGAACGGCACCGAAGATGACCGTCTCTGGGAAGACGCGGCGCCGAGGCGAGCTCCTCCGAGAACGAGGACAGCGAAATGGAATCCGAATAAAAACATTTCTGGCATGTCATTTGTGACTCTTGCACTCTGCTACTGTGCATAAACAGTACAGACCTTTGGCCTGTACTGCCTGTACTAAATCGGCCTGATTCGTGTAAGGGCCGCACCTAGCAAAATTTTCGAAAAAAAGTGCGGCCCTTACACGAGTATATACGGTAACCAATTTGTGAAGAGGTTGCTGTGCCTGACATTTTAGTTTTGAAAAACGGTTTTTCCTCAAACCACCAAGTTTAACCTCTTTCTGAAATGCCCAAGTATACGTTTAAATATATATGAGCAAACAACATAGTGCTTTACTTTAGACACAGCAGAATTTTTCAATGATATTCTTGACACAGTGCCAACATTTATCGCCGGACTCCATACACTCCTACTGCTGAGCCGCCAAGTGAGGGCAACAGCACTCACGCACAAAATGGAGAAACGCAGATAAAGAGGAAAGGCTTATCGAGAGGTGTGAGCGACCATTACCGTGATGTGAGCAAAGACTTTGTCCCACTCCGGAGGGGAGACATTCCGGGCCTTAAGGGGTGAAAACAGTCCTGGTACCAGGAGGGAAAGAAAGGTGGAAAAGAGATACGAGAAAGTAACGAAAGAGCAACCGGAACAGCAATCGAAATTCAATGTGTAGCACGCTCATCAGATACCGCAAGGATGACGACTATGGAAGACCACAGACAGATCAGTGGAACACACACTTGTAAATGTGTGCACACAACGACGTTCTCGAATAAGGTGAATAGAAGTAAACGGCCTGCCCTGTACACCTTGTTTCACCTTTATAGAAATAATTGTGATGCACACATTTAAAAGTACGAGTCCTTGCACCAAGGCAGTAGAATTTGTTCTGCAAGCAAACCATTTAATTCTGAAGGCGATACCGATGTTACATGGAGCACTGCTGATCGCGATTGAGCACAATGCTGATCATACTGCTCAACAGTGGTTCGGTCCTCCCCAACAGATTGTGTAAAAGAGCCACTTCAGATCATGAAATTTAATATGAATCAGACTTGATCGCAATCAAAATTGACCGTTTGACACCGGTGGCAGCTACTAGCCTAATGACACGTTATATGCGGAGAACCGAAATCGCTTTTCAAGAGATCTATTCATTGTGCCTCCACTTTCCTAGCGTAACCCACTGTGGCATAAATATTTAGGGGGGGGGGGGGGGGTATCGCTGCACCCCACTTCACATTATGGGGCCGACTTCTTGGTTTAGTTTATTTTGAGGTGAAAAAATGAAGCAAAAGCAAAAGGCTATATAGCCCGCCAGAGGCTTTTCAGCCCAACAGCCTCCACGATGACTAGAGGGTGGCTGCCTCGCTTGCCACCCCTCCCGTGCACACGCCCATGCCCTGTGGTAGACAGATACACTACCGGGCTCAAGGATACCGATGAATTCCTAGCCATAATGGCCGCATTTCAGACTGTGCAATGTGAAAATCCCCGTTGCCCTAGATTAAGGTGTGTATTAACGAACCCCAGGTTGACAATGTTATTCTGGAGTACCTTCCACAGTGGCGTGCCTCCTAATCATATTGTCGTTCTGGCCCCTAGAGCACCGCAAACCATCGTGTTCGGCTCACACATATCAATCGAAGCCAAACTGCAATGCGTTGTCGTTACAGTTCATCCGTCAAGGCAGGCTAACTTTCCTTTCCACTTTGGTCCAATGCTTATAATGACATCAATTGCAGCACACTAAATCCCTTTAGACACACGCATCTGTAGCTCACACACAAAAACCAGAAAGAATACTGGAAGTTGACAGTCATTGCTTACCTTTGCCACGTTGCTGAGACCTTCCAGACAAGAGGAAAGGTGTAAAGAGTCTGGAAGAAAGATATGCAATTAAATTCCGTGAATGTAATACGTTACCGACTTTTATATTTATCATCTCTGAATGTCATCTAATGCACACCTTCATCGTCACTCTAGATCAGCTGGAATAAACACACAGTGACTCAAACCTCGATATCACGAACAAAGATATAACGAAATATCGGTTATAATGAAGTGAATGAAGAATAGTCCTGCAATAGTTATAGTGTTAGAAATATTCCTTTTTAACGAATTTTCAGATCTGATAAACTTACTTCTGTGTGACATGCAACTTCGTTATAATGAGGTTTGAGACATATGCACACCTAATAACGATGCCATGCAGGTAAGATTCAGTGTAGAAAATTTTGCTTGAAGCATACAGCATACACAGTTGTGTGCGTATTTATTTTCGATCGATCTTTGACATTTTTTTTTTCAACATTATTTTTAACCGCAGCCTTTGGAACCATAACGCTACCTATCATCAGTGAGCTTTAGTTTTGTGTACGTAGTGCCTGCAAGTACATCACTTTTTGGCCAGGGCATGTGCATAAAACTACTGCTCATATGCACTATGCGAAAGGCAGTGTTCTTACATATGCCTTGCTGCGAGAAATGCAATGTAAATTCAGCATCAAAAGTTCAAGAGACCGCTAGGAGACTGCATTCAATCGAACTGCCCAGTATGTATATGTTGGCACCATTTCAGAACAGGTCAGATTCTAGGCTTCGTGCCAAAGCAGCAGGAATAACAAGCTCTTCTCTCGTGTCTCAGGGTTAGAGAAATATTTTTGCTATCTGTACGTGCAACTAAAGCTACTATTTATACTCGCTACCAAAGCGACTGCTACTGAAGGACAGCGCACCTTCCACAACTCGTCGCAGGTGCTGCCACGGTGGCAGGAGGCGC